CATCTCTGTCCAGACCAACGTCCTACTTCATGATTTAATTTCTGCTGATAGTGGCACGTTTACTGTTGCTCGTCCTCCAACAAATTATTGCAGTTCTGGTGTGCGCTTTTCCCCTTTGAATATAGGCAGCAAGTTGGCTTTCATTCTCTACCCGTTTTTTCAAATTAGCATATGAATTTTCGCGCTTAAAAATCCCAGTAAGTTCGTACTGCTAAGAGTTGTTCACGCTTTCTAAAACCGCGAGTGCATATATAATGCGCCTGCTCGCACCGAAAAGTTGGGAATCCTAAGTAGAGACTGCACGCCAACTTAGTTATGCATAGCATGGCTTAGTATGTATAATCCTTAGACCATCCTTTCTTAAGGTTTTTCTTCCGGGCCCCGAGCAAAATGCTAGGATTTCGTTGTTGGCGCTATCTAACCAAACTTTCCAAAAACCCTACTAGTTATTGGCAGTTCGCATCTTGTATCCATCACGGTATCATTAGGCGTTTGGTTTGAATAATGGAGCTGGTTTCATTTAGTTAATCAATTTAAATGGAATTTTGTGGGTTAGCAGTCTTACTTATTCAGGAAACTGATTGTAATTTGGAAATATATGTCAGTTGACCCGAGCTGCCGATAAAGTCTGGCATGCGAGAGGACAGGACAGCAGAAGTAGGTACGGTTTCCGTGATATACTCGTAGCTCAGGTGGTTAGAGCGTTGGCTGCGCTAAAGCCGTCCCCTTACTGCGTGGGTTCGAATCCCACCGAGGCGCCGAGTTTTTCACAGTTGGGTCAATAAGAATTATTCAAAATCTGCCAAAATGTCAATGAATATACTATGTTGTCGGTTTTTGCAAGTCTGCAGTTGTTCGATTCCTAACTGTCTACGCTCCAGTGAAAAATTAGTAAAGGCCCCAAATATTTCCTTTTTGTAATTGAGTATTTTGGCTATACTAACTTAAGCGCCAAAGGAACCATGACTCCCTGCGCCACTGTTGTTTTTTACATATCAAACTTCCGTTCAAAATGCTAGTATAACATAAAGCACTACTCTGATTAAGCGATTTTAGCCATAATTATTGAATGGTAGGGGGCTCTCAGCGATCATTTTTACGAACTCACTCGTTCCGTTGTGCCTTAAGGGCTCTCTCTCGAGCCCAACCAGCAGCCGCGCAGCGGCGCATGATATAGGCAGTATGGTATTACCGACAAAGGCTCCCTTGTTTTTGTCGGTAATACCACACTGTCTATAATGATTGAAGTTATATCACATCGATGAGCGTAAGCCCCCCCTATTTCACTTCGGGGTATACTAGCAGATAATCATCCTGCTCTTGAAATCCTGAAATATCTTCTTAACTGCCAAATTTCAAGGAGCCACAAGGTCACTTTCTCCAGAAGTCAAAAAACATCGAATTTACCATTTTTGGAGGAATCCGGTCTGCACTCTGAACAGACGATGTACGTAGTGCACATGCTGCAAATGCCGACGTGCTGAAAGTTTTATTTAGTCTATTTTATAAATAAACGTTGGAAGTCGGCTTCTTGAAAAAATGCGAAACTGTGCGAAACAACAACAATCACTGTAGAAGACATTTCACAGATTCTCTTTCAATTATCGATCCGCCTTTATAAGGCCGGGGGGTCACTAATGGAAATAACTCGTGTAAGACTGTATTGCTTTTATTTAACCTGCGAATTTAGCCTTCTCGGTGCAGAAGAGGAGTTTTCCCATGAAGATATCAATCGGTCGAAGAAAATACGTGCCGTTCTAACCTGCAGTTTTCTTTATGCAAATATAGCATGTCATATTTATAGAACAATAGCAAAGGGCACCCGCCCTACGCACTGGACGCTATATGGCCTGTGTAGTGAGCGGAAACCCTAGCATGTGAAGGAAGAACGCATTACTGACGTTTATTCCTGACCGCAAATTAACAACACGCTAACTTCAAGAATGCACGTAACCAAGACGCTGTTGCTTGTCTCTGACTGCAACCACTTTTTCAAACATTTTTTTAAATTTTTAATGTTATACAATAAGCATGAAAGTCGGGCCTAGAGTTCACGCTCACCATGCCTGCAAGCAGCTGGATAGGAGTCAGGAACAAATTAACAGAGGTCACTGCTAATTGCATATTCGGCTCGCTCACTAAACATGAGCTTTTTGCTCTGCCTTAAAAGCGGATGCATGAGGATATGATCAAACCCTTACATTATGTGTACGATTTGGACTGCAATTCGGCGTGTAACAATGACTTTGGAGTTGGCAGCTTCTAATAATAATGGCACTCCTATACTTAAGATATGCTATATTCAGACCTAAACGGACTTGGAATGGTCAGTTATTTTTTTGTCATCACGCAGCCCAGAGACTAGACCATATCGCTTGAATCCTGTCCTGAACTCGAGATAGATCGATGAACATAATTCTCGAATAACAGAGTTTAGTTCCATTTCTTTCGGATGATTTTCTTACTTATTTGAGCTTTGATGTGGGCTTTCACTTCAAAGAAAAGTTTCTAGTCACATATAAATAGATTATTGCTCCAAACTATTCGCACGTACGTATATCGTACGTATATCGATTGCATTAAATCGACGGCCAGAAGCAAGATATATTTTACTGTGAAAATTTTGAAAAGCCTTTTTAGAACCGTTTTCACCAACGAATATGTCGGAAATACTTCATAATTTAGCCATCAGCGTAAAATAATAAAACCACGAGACTTTTCACTTAACAGGGCAACGCAGAGCTGGTGTAGCTGGCTGCCTTATTGATCATCGTGACCTCGATCCTTTTATGCCTAGATTTGAAATAAGGGTGGCATCCATTGGGTTTTTGTAGGATGTTCTCATTGTACGACGACATCCAGGCAAACTTTGAAGACGTCAAGTTCGGCGAACTTACGTTTTCGATTATTCATCCTAAGGTCTGCGCAGTAATATGAGTAAATTACGGTAAAACAGTGAATGTCAAAGCAGTCAATGAGCTACAGTCATGGCGGAGAGAGTAAAGGACGTCAACGTAATTGCAGTCTAGTTCTGTCAGGCGCAGGGAAGAGATAAGGAGGGAAAGGGTCTGACAGTGATCTGTGCCCGTTTTGTCGCTGTAGTACGACGTAACTGGATGCGGGGACAAACATGCTAGGCTCATCGTGGAGCAGGAGAGTTTACGGGCATGCATACATGAATTCTTTGAGCACAAAACTGCGTCGGCTAACTATATGTCCACTGTTTCTGTCGCCGAAAATGTCCGCCGACGCAAGAACTTGAGCTGTCTTTACTGATGGCCTGAATGTTTGGTTGACGTCCACTTGATGACCGCTGACAACCAAGGGAGCCGCAATTGCAATGGGAGGCACTTTTCGGTATCGTCGTTTGGTCAGGAAAGATGCTGCTCCCGCACCCTTTTTGACAGGGACCTATACGTTTTACCAATATAACGCACCGCATAAGAGAATGTGAGGACGTAGATTGCGCATTGAAGAAATCCGGACCGGCAGCTTATTCTTACATTCTGGCAGAAAGAGCGGAGTGCTTGGGAAAATCGGTCATCTTGGTTGCCGGGTACGTGCGCGCGAAATTGAGTTATGAGAAAAAGTTTTTGTTCAATCGTCGATACGTCTGTTTTTGGGAGATGTTCTTCTATTTATCTTAAACTTATTTATAAAGCCATTTTCTCAGAGGGTGCTTTGTATGACAGTTCTACCATTGTTGCCAACTATGCCCACTGTGTGCTCCACAGCAGGGTGAGAGCAAGGACGACGACATGAGCGTGAATTAGCTTAAAGTGATGGTAGACTTGCGTTGCACCTATCGCACCCTCTCATATTCCATATAGGCCCTGTGTCGAGACATGGTCAAGCAGACCGGAGGCGGGAGAGGAATCAGGTGGCTGGCATGACGTTAACCTATACCTGGGCTTACCACCACACCACCTGGTCCATAACGAACACTAACCAGGATGTGGAACAACAAGAGAAGGGGGCGGCTCGGATCCCACGGAGTGGGAGTGCCATAGACGCCACATTGAGGAGCCACTTCGGCCTGAATCTCAGTCCACCAGTCGGACACTCCGCATGCGCAAACACTGGGTTGACTGCACGGTGTGAGTTCTATCGTCAGTTGGTAACCTTCCAAGTCACGACGCCTAACACACAGTGATTGTCTTAGGCTCAGCTAACACCTGCAGCAAATGAGCCCCATGGAAAATGTGTGCCGAGACGCCAGCCTATCTTGTCTTTACCTACCTGTTCCTCATTCTTGGACTTACTGGTTGTTTCACTGAATGGGAGGAAGACAACACAATGCGACGCGCTCGGCATCTGTCAGATTGTCAGGTCGTTTGACATTTGATTGTTAATTCTTTCATGACTCTCGTCTTATCCTGATTTCGATAGTCTGGGATTGACAGTTGTGTCCTTAGCGCTCGCAACAGTGGTGACCTTTTGACGTTTGCGCTTATACCTTTATTCTGTTGACTTTCTTTTTGCGTACAGTCCGTTTACTTTGTTTCTTTCTACCATCATGACCTCTACGGATTCCAACGATGCCAGTACTTCTGTCAGTGGACTTCTTTCGTCTCTCGCAGACTTTAGGCAACATGCGCCAGAACTTTATTTTTTCTTTATCGAGGCGACATTTCACTCCACCAAGATAACACGAGAAACAGACAAATATTGCAAGTTGGTGGAGGCCCTTCCTCCCACCATTCTTTCCCAGGTGCAGACGTTTTTACGAGATCTCCCGACTGATGGTCCGTACACGAAGTTAAGGGCTGAACTCCTTCGCCTGACATCAGTCTCGGGTCGGCAGCGTTATCACGCACTGGTAAAAGAAGGGGCCTTAGGTGATCGCAAGCCGCCTGAACTCTTGCGTCGTATGCGTTCTCTCGTTGGGAACATGGCCATCGACGACAAGTTCTTTAAAGAGATGTTTTTAGAACGTGAAATCGGTACAAACAATCTTGGCCTCCGGCTCAGATGACCTAGACATATCAAGGCTAGCGGAAATGGCCGACCCTATGATGAAGGTTGAGCGTTTGTCATCCCCGAAGATTGCTCAGATTTCCCAGCCTCTCACCGTGTCCACCTCTGACCTGGCTAAACAAAAGACACAGCTTGCCCAGTTTTCGGCGACTGTTGCCGCTTTGCAGCTGCGCCGATCTGCCGGTCCCTCTCTACGTTCCTTTGGCCGTGGCCGTCGTTGTTCCTGCTCTCGCCCCAGGACCGCAAACCTATGCCGGTATCATGTCAGCTATGGTGATAAGGCGCGACGCTGTGTCCCACCCTGCCCCTTCAAGTCCACACAGGGAAACTCCTTGGCCGGAGAGTAAATGCGGCCGAGCGCTCTGGCAACTCTACTGGTCGCACCTTTTTCATCAGTGATCACACGAGTGGCAGGCGTTTTTCAGTCGACACTGGCGCTAAAATTAGTGTTATCCCTCCCATACCAGCCGACCGACGTTGCTCAAACCACGGTCTTTTCCCTCAAGCCGTAAACTCATCCCCCATTACAGCCTTTGGATTTCGATCCCTCTCCCTGGATATCGGTCTCAGGCGATTATTTCCCTGGATATTTGTGATGGCTGATGTTCCCACGGCCATCCTTGGTGCTGATTTTTTGGCCGGCATTGACCTTCTGGTGGATTGGAGGCAACTTTGCCTCCATGGTCGCGCAACTACCCTCACCGTCAAAGAATTTCCTCCATCCTCAGCTTCTAATCATCTATGCGTCCGTGACCCAAACCCTGACTGTCCATTTCGTAGGCTTAGCAAAACATCCTATTCTCACTAAGCCCCATTTTTCTGACACCTCATTGCCCCATGATATTGTTCATTATATAAAACGACTGTTCTTCCCGTTTACTCTCGTCCCCGCCGTCTTGCTCTCGCGCGTCTTGCCGCTGCTAAAGCTGAATTTGACCACACCCTGCAACTAGGGATTATTCGACAGTCCGACAGTTCGTGGCATCTCCTTTGCACAAATACGAATGATTGGCGTCCTTGTGGCGATTATAGAGTCCCAAACAATATCACTATGCCCGATCGGTAGCCGGTTCCCCATCTTCAGGACTTTGCCGGAGCTCTCTGTGATAAAACCGTTTTCTCGGAGATCGATTTGGTGCGGGCTTTTCATCAAATTCCGCTTGCGCCTGAGGACATTCCCAAAACGGCAGTGACGACTCCTTTTGGCTTGTTTGAGTTCCTTCGTATGCCATTTGGCCTCCGAAACGCCTCACAGACTTTCCAACGTTTCATTGACCGTGTTTTACAGGGCCTTCCTTTTGTTTATGCGTATATTGATGATGTCCTTGTCACCAGTCGAGATGTCGAGGAACATCTCCAACACCTTACTCTGCTTTTCGACCGATTTCAGCAGTTTGGTGTCACCCTGTATCCTGTCAAATGTGTCCTAGGAGCCATTTCTGATGAGTTCTTAGGTCACCTGATAGACTCAAGCGGCATTCGGCCTCTCCCCTCTAAGGATGCCGCCATTGGAGACTTTCCACTTTCTACCTGGAAGCGTCAGTTGCAACGGTTCCTTGGTATGGTGAACTTTTATCGTCGGTTTCTCCCGAACTGTGCTGATACCATTCAACCGTTGACCAGTCTCCTCTCAGGTTCTAAGCTCATCTTTGAACTTACACCAGCAGCACTCACGTCATTTGAGCAGGTAAAAGCCCTTCCGACTGATGCCACCCTCCTGACTCACTTTCATGCTGATGTATCCATATCTCTGATGGTTAATGCCACCAATGTTGCTGTTGGCGCGCTTCTTCAACAAAGTCTGCCAGATTCTACCGTGCCTTTGACTTTCTTCTCCAGGAAACTATCCAAGACCGAAACCCACTACAGCACATTCGGATGTGAACTTCTCGCCGCTTATCTTTCCGTAAGGCACTTCCGGCATTTATTCGAAGGTCGAGAGTTCACAATTTTCACAGTTCATAAGGCACACACCTTCGCTATGCATTCCCACTCTGACAAACTAAACCCCCGGGAGATACGCCACCAGGACTACATTTCGCAGTTCACTGCGGACATCCGCCATACTGACGGGTCACGGAATGAGGTGGCTGACGCACTGTCCAGGCCCTCTATCGCTCACCTTCAGCTTTCACCCGCGATCGATCTCACTGAGATGGCCACCTAACAACGCAGTGTCAGTTCATCCTGTGATGAGGATGCTTCCGGACTCCAACTTCAGGAACTACCACTGACAACTGGCAACGGCACCATTTTATGCGTGGTATCCACCCCTTTTCATCGTCTATTTGTGCCACCATTTCTCCGCCGCAAAGTTTTCTCCTCCCTGCACAAGCTCTCTCGCCCTGGGAGTCGAGCAATCGACAACCTGGTTTCCGACCGCTTCGTCTGGCCTGGGATGCACAAGGACCTCAAAGCATGGACACGGGCTTGTATTGCCTGTCAACGAAGTAAGATCCAGCGGCACAACAAGGTCCCCACTGGCACCTTCCCCGGCCCTGGTGCATGGTTCAGCCACGTTCACCTGGACATTGTAAGCCCCCTGGCTCTGTCCAATGGTTGTTCCTATCTCCTCACCTATGTGGATCGGTCCACTCGGTGGCCTGAAAGAATTCCCCTGCCTGACATTGCTGCGCCAATGGTGGTCAAGACTTTTCTCAGTCGTTGGGTTGCTATCTTTGGGGCACCCTCCACAATCACGACTGACCGTGGTGTCCAGTTTCAGTCTAACCTCTTCCAGTCCTTCCTCTCCTTTTTAGGCTGTACCCGCATCCGGACGACAGCCTATCACCCGGCTGCTAACGAGATGGTCGAGCGGTTTCACCGCCAGCTGAAGGCCTCCCTACGCGCCGTGGCCGATCCGGAGAACAGGACTTACCATCTTCCCCTGGTCCTCTTGGGCATCCGCTCCGCTCTCAAGCCGGGCCTTGACTGTTCCGCAGCTGACTTGGTGTTCGGCGCCACCGTCCGACTCCCCGGTGAGATGATCTCGTCAACCCCGCGAGGTGCAGTTGAGGATCCCACCAACCTCCTACATCGCCTCCGACAGTTTATGCGGACACTTGCTCCGGTTCTTTTCAGGTCCTCCGCCTCTCCGTCTTATCTCGAGATGGACTTGGCAACGTGCTCTCACGTCTACCTTTGATGTGATCGAGTCCGCCTGCCTCTGGAACCGCCCTATGACGGTGCATTCCGAGTGCTCTCTCGCGGGACGAAGACTTTCCGCATTCAACTCGACAATCGTGAAGAGGTCGTGAGTGTGGACTGCCTCAAGGCTACCGTCTCTGACACTCCTCACGATGAGCCTGTGGTCCTCTACCTTCTGTTCCCCCACCTGCAGCCTGCATTTTACCGTCCCATATTTTCCCTCTGCCTTCCTGTCCGCTACCTCCGACTGCCACCATTAACTCCAACACCTCCGCCACCAGATGTATTCACTCTTCTACGGACCCTGTATATATCACTCGCAATGGTCATCACGTACACTTTTCTGATCGGTTGGTCATTCATTTCTTTTAGACTTGTACATATCCTTTGGCGTCGTTTTCGCCGACTTCCGGTCTCGGAGGGAGGTACTGTGCCAAGGCGCCAGACTATCTTGTCTTAACCTACCTGTTCCTCATTCTTGAACTTACTGGTTGTTTCACTGAATGGAAGGAAGAAAACACAATGCGACGCGCTCGGCATCTGTTAGATTGTCAGGTCGTTTGACATTTGATTGTTAATTTTTTCATGACTCTCGTCTTACCCTGATATCCATAGTCTGGGATTGACAGTTGTGTCCTTAGCGCTCACAACACAGGACCAGGGGACTACACTTCCCACTTACGTGGTTGGTGCCGATAACGTGCTTGAGTTGTGTGATATTGACTGTGGTGGTGGGCGGCGTCTGTGTTGGCGCGGAGAGATGTGACGGTATGATGCAGCTCTCGGTGTTCTACCACAGGTTTTCATGAAGACGCATGTCGCCTAGTGCGCGCATGCGGTGAGTGAATGTGCGTGAGTAATGGCAGTAGTTGAGGCGATGATGTCTAATGTGCGTTGGTGCTCAAGACACTGAGTCAGCAGTTTCTGCGCGACGGATTCACAAGTAACCGGCCAGACCGATACGTGGGGGAAATGTGATATGACAGTGTGGACAGGATGGGTCAAGATTTGGTTAACGTTGCGATGCTACTGGTGGTGGACGCTCTCGTCGAAGGAAAGTTGGTCGGGCTGGGAACAGGAAGGATATTTAATATGCATATTGTGTTAGGTGCGTCGATACTGCGATAAATTCCGCTGCTTTGGATACGCATGTGACGGCATAGGCCCATGCAGTGTGTTAATGCGCGCGGACAGTGTGAATAATGGTAGAGGAGGACGTTCACCTATTGCGGACGATGAAGGCGGATGTAGCAAGGGTATATGGGGATCCTGCTACTGGTGCGAAGGTTACAATGCGATGGATTCGCAAGTGACCGGCCGGGTCGATGCGGAATGTGAATGTACGATCGCAATGGAGACAGGTTAGGACTTAGCCCACACCGCTGTAGATGGGGGCGATAGTGCTGAGGGAGGTGGTTGGCGGGCCGTCGGGAAAGTTTTGTTTGTCGGTGGGATTAAAAGTCGTAATGTTCGTCGTCGTCGTCGTCGTCGTCGTCGTCGTCGTCGTCGCCGCGGAGGTTGTGGCAGGAATGATGGGGATTGCGGTGACTAACAGTGGCGTGTTTTGCATAAAATCAAGTCCGCTTTCCGGCGTATTTGGGGAGTATATTCCCCTAGATTGGTTGGTTATTTGGAAGACTAAGCTTCATTCCTAACTTAGAGGTGCAGAAATGCTTTAAAAATTGTGCAAGGCTCTGTTCATGTTTTCTTGCAAAATACATTTCTACTAATTTTTCCATCAGAAGTTCTACCAGGTAGGAGGTCCAGAAAGAGGAGGCACTATCTCTTTTCCCTTGTTCCGAAGTGAACGTTGACTTTGGATGAGCCGGTTTTACTTTATCGATAAGTATTCAGGTTAAGTTTCACGTGTGCTGTCAGATAAACTTCATCGAGGTCCTCTTTAACTGAACAAACCTGGGTTTTCGTTAGTTTCCCCATAAAGACATCCGTACTAGGGGATTCAAAGGGTGATATTATCGCAAACCCCTCTATCTGGCGATGATACTAACCACTGAGCCTAAGTGGGACAATCAACCTGCAGCGGAATAGCAGCTCCTCTAGCTCCACGACCGGGATACTGATTGAAAAATGTTGTCCCACATCCTCTTCACATAAGTGTGGCATCTTTCCTGAGGGAAGAATTAGTGGACAATAATAAGACATCTGAGAAACGTGTATGATGTTTTATTAATCACGGCAATCAGTCAAAACTATCACGATACTTTTGTAGCGGCGTCCCATTTCTTCCCCTACCTCTAAGTAGCACACGTTTTCTCAGTTTTTCCTCTAGCAATGCTTGACAACCTGATGGACAGAGATATCCTGCCAGTCCGAATTTTTCTGGGATTTATCATTCTGGGTTTTCAGAAAGCTCTATTCTGAATGGACTGCCTGTCTTCGAATTGCGTGGTCTTTATCGCCTTCTATTTCCTGCCTTTCTGTTTGGCTATTCACATTCACATTCAGGAATTAAACTAACGGTTTCCGAAAAGGGTGTCGCAATTATCTGCTCTTTACACACACGGTAGTCTCAGGATTCAGCAGATGTTGTAATCTCTCTACGCTGCCCTCTGTTGTTGGTTGTATTCCCGCGCCCGAATAGCTTATCTTGCAAACTGTCGCTGCCATTACACATGAACTTTATCATATCCTTTTATTTCCCACATAAGAGAGTAGACGACAAAATCTGGTTAACTGATTATCCCACCCATCATTTTAAAACACTGTGCATGATCATCTGCTCATTCACTTTTTCCCATCTCGGACATCTCGCATAAGATATGAAAAAAGAGACAAGATCGCTGAATCAAGAACTCTATTGTCCTGACGTTTCGGACTCTCACTCTAATCCATCATCAGAGACAGACTCAGATAAGGGCAGTCGGTTGCCCGGGTGTTATAGTATTTATAGGATGTAATTCATCAGTTTCACTATTCCTCTTTCCTCCCTCGTCCTCTCGCAATAATGGATTTGGGAATCCCAGTGGCTTATTTCGCTGAGGACTAAATTACTTACATCGCCCTGTAAACTGCTCTATTATATGGCTCACAGCAGCCATTTCTAATCACCTTGGCAATGGCGTGCCCAGTAAACCAGAATATGCTGTTAGTCCATCGAGTTTGGCCAAATATTCACCCCATTATCTACCATATTTCTACCTGGACTTCTCACAGAATTAGCATCTCATATTTGGTGTATAAACATTCGCGTATAATGGCGATGTTAAGGGTCCAGATTTATTGATCCCTTCTAAATATATTGGAGGCCACAATCGCCGAACGTTTATCGACATTTCTGTTGGCTACATTAATAAATTCACTGGCAGCGTGTGTATTCGGTTCTTTACAGATAAAAGGAAAATGAAGATTTGGTGCAACTGTACAATCATCAAAATAGGCTGATGATTAAGTTTGTTCTCGCGCTCTCTTCCTCCGCTGAAATGGAGCTTGCGTCGAAGATGTCTAAAGGAATAAAAAGCAACTGTGTGTATTCAGTCTTCTATAGCTAACAAAAGAGATTACTTACGAACATAGTCTACCTGAACAAGTGCTCCAGTAGCTTCATGTCGCCCATGTACTCATTGCCTCCGTAATATAAAAACGATTATCGCTCAAAACTAACTGCAGTTAAAAACACTGAAATCACACGTGAATTGCTGGTTATTTATCTTTCATAGCCACCGACAAACCTACAAAAGATTTGAAAGCGATAGCGGTGGCAGTTTCCATGCACCTAAAACATTGCTTTACACCCACAAAACGTCCTTAATATGGCGATGCAAGTTCTACAGTCGTCAAACACTGAGAATATCCTACCAACTGATACGATAAACAACTAATTGGACAAGATTTTACACTACTCAACTATCAAGAGCCGTATCCCTCCCGTTCTTTCGTCACTGCCAGCAGCAAATTCCCTCGCCTGTTCTACTTCTCCTGCCTCATTTGCATTGCCCTTATGTCAGTCGTCCCTTAAATTGCTATGTTCAGCAAAAGCTGTGCCCCTTCCTGTCGTGAATG